ACTCACCGCAGTCCCGCTATAAGTCGCTGATCACCGCCATTACTAGTGAAAACAAAAAAAAAATTCTAGTATATATACCGCCATTTGTAGATGCTATAACTCTCACGTAAACTGATTAATTTACATGTATTGGGATTTCTTTTATCAAAGACATGTAGCAGAATAAATGTGGCCTAAATTTATGACGAAATTTGATTTTTTTAATTTTTTTACTGGATATGTTTTCTAGCAAAAAGTCAAAAATGTTTTTTTTTTCTCAAAATTGTCAGTCTTTTTTTTATTTATAGCGCAAAAATAAATAATGCACAGGTGATCAAATACCACCGAAAGAAAGCTCTATTTGTGGGAAAAAAAGGACGTAAATTTCATTTGGGTGCACCATTGCATGACCACGCAGTTGTCAGTTAAAGTACCGCGGCGCCGTACCGCAAAAAATGGCCTGGTCAGGAAGGGGGGTAAATCCTCTGGAGGGCAAGTGGTTAATGCTGGCATTTGGGGGAGTTTAGTTTATTTAATTTTGTGTTCTTTGTTGGTTTTTGTTTTTTTATTTTGTTCTATTTTATTACCATGTATGTAATGCTGCTTTGAATTTTTATTTTATTTTCACTGTCTGTTTTTTTTTTCTTTTTGTGAAAGTAAAATGATGAGGTTATCGGGGGCCATTTATTAATCGTGAGTTACCCAAGGAGCAGCAAGCTGATTTGCTATCATCCTTTTTAATTGGGGAGCTTCAAAAGACCTACTTTGACAACCTCAAATGTCACAGAGTATACTAAATTCAAAGGTGAAATCCTAGCCAAGCTTGGAGTGACCATGGCTGTCTGAGCACAGTGTGCTCACATGGGAATATGATCCTGGGAAGATGGTGAGGTCCCTTGTGTATAATTTGTTTTTACAAACAAGTGGTTGCTGTGACTAATGCAGTGCCTGAACCCTGCCCTTCTCACCAATTCGTGACAAAGGACTAGCCAATCTCACACTGCGCTGTCATCTACCAATGCCACTCTCAGCCACACCCTGCACAAAGATTTTTCCAGCTTGCAGAACCACAATCTAAGTGCCAATAGACTGAGAGTGATTGTCCCTGAGTTAAGTTAACTAAGCAATTAACCCTTTAACCATTTCAATACCGGGCAATTTTACACCTTCCTGCCCAGGCCATTTTTTCAGGTTTCAGCGCTCTCACACTTTGACAATTGTGCGGTCATACAACATTGTACCCAAACTAAAATTTTATCATTTTCTTCACACAACTAGAGCTTTCTTTTGGTGGTATTTAATCACTGCTGGGGGTTTTATTTTTTGCTTAATTAAAAAAAAAAAGACCAAAAATTTGGAAAAAAAACACGTTTTTCTTTGTTTTTGTTATAAAAGTTTGCAAATAAATAATTGTGCATAAATTTAGGCCAAGATGTATTCTGCTACATGTCTTTGGTGAAAATAACCCAAATTAGGATGTATTATTTAGTTTGTAGGAAAGTTATAGAATTCACAAACTATGGTATAGATCTGAATATTGATCAATCCTGAAGTACTGACAGCCAATCTATTTTCTTGAGGTCCAAGAATGTCAGAATAGTACAGATATCCCCAAATGACCCCTTTTTGCAGAGTAGACAGTCCGACGTACTTCATAAGAGGAATGGCGAGTTTTTGAAGTTGTATTTTTTTTGCCATAATTTTTCGGAAAATTAAAAAATTAAAAAAATTATTTTCACTATTTTTTTTTTTACATACTGTCACCAGTGCAGTACAGCATCATCCTATAACTGGCATGGCGGTGAACAGGGACACTGACTGGTGACAGTATGAAAAAATAATATATATATATATTTTTTAATTATTTTTTATTACATTTTTTAAAAAAATTTTTAAGATTTTTTTTTTATATTTTACTATGACCAAAGTAGTACAATGTTACCATAGTAACATTGTACTACTTTGAGGAAGTGATCAGTATTTTTTTTTTTTTACACAATTTGCTTATAGCAAAGAATTACTTTGCTATAAGCAAGCATTTACCTGAATGAAATCATTCAGGTTTTTTTTCTTTCTTGTGCTTAGCTGTGATTTGGCCACAGCTAATCACATGACATGTGCATGTGACCTGCTGTGACCATTCACAGCTAGGCACTAGTATACAATGGATGGCATGAATGAAGCCAAATGGCGTGCACCCGGAAAGCTGATGCATTTTTGCAGCTGCCAAACGGCTATAGGCCGGGCGGCTAATGGTTAAACTCCAAACTGCCACCAGATAGCTTTGGGCCTATTGACCCTTCACAATAACAGTAATGACAATGATGATTTTTAAAATAAACGTCTATACATACACTGTCATCGCAGACAGGTATTTTCAGAGATTTACACTACAGTAGAACTCTTCAAGAGACAGCGATTCTTTTACTTTGCATTAAAAGCCTATGAGACAATTTCAACACTTTTCAAAATAGGGTTTAATAATGAAAAAGGTCAAAATGGTTCAAAAAAAATATTTACAGAAAAAGGGTGTTACACAGAAACAAAGAGAACAAGCAACAGCAAGACAAAAAAGGTGAACAAAAAGGTAAATACTGGCAAAGTCCTTGGTTTTAGAGTCCAACTGATCAAGCAAAAATGGTGCAGTGGCTCTTTCAAGTGTGGTTAGGTGTTCCTTGGTTTGATTTTAAAATGAGAGCTTTCAAAACGTACTAGCATTCCCCTTTTTTGTGGTATCATAGGGGTGTTGATAGAGACTGTCTGACCAATCATCTTGTTTAAGGGGTGGTTGCTGGGAGGTCACCATGTTTATGACAAAGTCCCAAATATAGTTTTCTATAAGCATGCATATTTCTGAATACCTACCGTTTACAGTCCGCTAACATACAGATTATTGTCTAGCATGAAATTAGCTTCAAAATGGATATAGATATGACAGATCTCAGAATTTATTTTGCATAGGAGGGGGTGTGGAGGCCTAATCTACACTAGTATCTCCTAGCATAGAGGTATATGGCCTCACAAATTAACTGAGGGAGGTAAATATGTCTATATTCTGGCTGCGCTGTCATTATTTCATGAGTTATGAAACATGCTGAAGTTTTAGAGTTTTGCTGATAACCAGTCTATCAGGAATGTGTATTCTACTGACTTCCAACTAAGGTATTTATGACCCAATGTCTGTAAATTTTCTAGTCACTGAAGACAATTTTATGGGCCATGTGATGTGTATTGGGGTTAGATCTTGTTGGTCCTATTACCAGACTGAGAAGGGGTGTCTGGCAGCAACTAAGACGTTGTGGATTGTATAAGCTGAAAGGAGGGGAAGAGAGGAAAAGGTCACTGTGGCCATTTCTGACAAAATGGCATGGACGAATTGTGACCTGAACAAAATGGCTTCTGCACACACAGCTTTTTGTGTGCCCACTACGCACAACCATTACACCTCCCCTCTCAGGTGGTTGCATGGGAGGGAACTGTAATTTCCCTCCTGATGCAACCAAGTCCTGCTGCCGGGGACACAGGTCTGCCTTGCCAAGGAGTTCACTTTTGTGCGGCCTGTTCCACCTGCATTGCTGGAGAAATAGGTTCCTTCTGAGGAGCATGCCGTTCTCCCTAGCATTACTGTTGGGCCTACAAAGTGGGTTGTGATGGGTGAGTACAGTCTGCTGTAACCACCCGGATAACATGGCAGCTTCTGTGGTGCCCACCTGATCACAAGACACATCTGTTCAGGGGTGGCATATAGTAACTTGCCAAGAGGTAACTTCTGGCATAGGTAGAGGATGAGACATTCCTCTCCTGTCACATCCTCCTGTCCCAGGACTGCACATGATGCCAAGGTAGTGGCATTGGTGTGCAACCGGACAGGTGAATTCCGGGCCCCGCATCAAAGGTGCACCGACTGGTACCTCTGTCCAGGTTAAATGGTCCTCTTTACATGCTGGCATCAAAGACGCCATTTTTGTCTGTTTTCTGTTTGGTTAGTCAGTCACTGGTTCAGCCACTATAGTTGCACACTGACATCTTACTGTAGCCAGCTGTACCAAAGAATGACATAACTGGCCTTTTGGCTTGGGGAGTATGCCAGGCCATGATCACCTCAGCCTCCGCAGTTTCAGATCTTTGGGTGTCTCCTTCTACCTGCTGTTCCGGGTGCTGAATCTTTAACATGCCCCTGGCAGTTAGTGTTTGACTGTCAAACTAGGCACTAGCAGTTTGTTCAGGACTGGTGACAGGAGCCCAAGTTGTTCTCCCCAAGCAGGGCCAAACACTGCATGGTTTCTAAAGTAGGCAACTGCACATGGTTCCACTGCTCCCTGTGGGTCATTCATGACCCCAACTAGCATTATTGTACATTCAGGCAAGCCACATGGAGTGATGAAGGCTGACTCGTGCTGAGCTTCCCATGTTAGAGGGGTTGGCCCATACCCTTTGCTCAGGTGCATAACAGTTAGACAAAGGGCACCTGACAGCTTGTCCAATACCTCATGGTTCCTGGGCATGGGGTAGACCACAAACGCAGGGCTGGCATTCAGTTTTCCAAGGTCCCCACAAAGCCTGGTTATCTGATCCCTTTTGGGGACCAGGACTACTGGTGCCACCCAGACCCTACGGGTCTTCTGAATAAACTGTAACCACTGCATTCTTTGGCCTGATTTGTCTGCACCTGCTCGAAACAAGGTGGGCCGAAGGCATGAGGAAAGGATACACCTTGCTGTCTGTTTCACAAACAGCATTGTGTGCCCTCCCAGGGTTTCACTGAACCTAGACAGCGTACACCAAAAGCGCTGCCAGCACCTGATGTACCTGGATGGAAAAGACAGATGATATGAGCTGAAGGTCTAAGCCCACTCCCTGAGTGTCAGCTAACAAATCTAACAGGGGACCTACACTATATAAAGTATTGGGCCAGCCCTCCAAATCATTGGATTCAGGTGTTACAATCACCACCATAGCCACAGGTGTATAAAATCAAGCACCTAGGCATGCAGATTGCTTCTACAAACATTTGTGAAAGAATGGGTCGCTCTCAGGAGCTCAGTGAATTCAAGCGTGGTACCGTGATAGGTTGCCACATGTGCAATAAGTCCATCCGTGACATTTCCTTGTTACTAAATATTCCACGGTCACCTGTGGTATTATAACAAAGTGGAAACAACTGGGAACAGCAGCAACTCACCCATGAAGTAGTAGGCCACGTAAAATGACAGAGCAAGGTCAGTGCATGCTTAAGCACACAGTGCGCAGAAGTTGCCAACAACAATAACAGTGCGTAGAGAGCTTTATGGAATGGGATTCCATGGCTGAGAAGCTGCATCAAATCCTTACATCACCAAGTGCAATGTAAAGTGTCGGATGCAGTGGTGTAAAGCACGCTACCATCGGACTCTAAAGCAGTGGAGGTGTGTTCTCTGGAGTGACCAATCACTCTTCTTTGTCTGGAAATTCGATGGACATGTCTGGGTTTGGCAGTTGCCAGGAGAATGGTACTTGCTTGACTGCATTGTGCCAAGTGTAAAGTTTGGTGGAGGGGGGATTATGATGAGGGGTTGTTTTTCAGGGGTTGGGCTTGGCCCCTTAGTTCCAGTGAAGGGAACTCTTAAGGCGTCAGCATACCAAGACATTTAGGACAATTTCATGCTCCCAACTTTGTGGGAACAATTCCAACATACGTGCGCACCTTTGGGATGAATTAGAGCGGAGACTGCTAGCCAGGCCTTCTCGTCCGACATCAGTGCCTGACCTCACAAATACGCTTCTGGAGAATGGTCAAACCTTCCCATAGACACACTCCTAAACCTTGTGGACAGCCGTTCCAGACGAGTTCAAGCTGTTATAGCTGCAAAGGGCGGGCCAACTCAATAATGAACCCTACAGACTAAGACTGGGATGCCAGTAAAGTTCATGTGCATGTAAAGGCAGGTGTCCCAATACTTTTGGCAATATAGTGTAGCTCTTCCATTTCAGGTGTACTACCACTGCCCATGACATGCACTGTGCTGGGGGGTTTTGGGTAGCTAAAGTTAAGCCAGAAACAATTCTGTGTGACTTCCTCTCTGGCTCTAGTTTTTTCCAATGAACCTTCACAGGCCATATCAGGTGACACCTTCAATACATGTCCCCTAGATTGACTGGACACAATGAGCAGCTGGCTAACCTTTCTGCCTAGCTTTTCATTGTCCCAGTCAAGCTTTTGTTTTCCTATCTCAGCAGGGAAGCTCACAGCTAGCCTGCTGAACACTTCAATATAGTTCTCAGTACTAGCTGGACCATGGGACTACAAGTACCAACCAGTTGTCCTGTGACATGCAAAAACAACTGCTAAGGAGTTATCAAGGCTGAATCCTCTGGGATGGAGCAAGGAAATGGGCTATCCAGACCATCCCTTTGCTCGGCATCCAGAGTGACCTCCAACAATGACAAAACATCATCATTACACTCAGTAATTACAGTACGGTTAACATCAAATACATGTGTTTGATACCTGCACATGCAAGGGGGTCTCCTCTGCTTGCTCAGTAGATGGAGAACCCTGTACTTCCACTCCACCCTCCCCTTCCCTCTGTCCATCCACAGTTTGCCTAGGTAGTAACCCAACATTTGCACACAGTACCTTGGTAGGTCAAGGGAGTTCCATGGGGGCGTCTAGGTTGTTCTTCGCAGGTGCATAGTAAGGAACTAGAGTGCCTAAATCGGCACCCAACAAAATGGCAGTGGGATCTCATCTGTGACTCCCACCTCTCTCATCCCAATCTCCTGCACCCCAATCGATGAGCATATTAGCACAGGAAATGTGTGAATGGGTCCCCCCAACTCTGGTGAGGGTAATAAACTTTTCTGGGATGATGTCCTTTCTTTCTAACACCTGTGGTCTGGCCAATGTGACTTCAGCTCATGTATCACAGAAACCAGTTACAGCCCGGTTGCCCACGGTGACTGGCAGCAAGTTGGTGGTGGTTACACGTGATTTCCTGAGGATGAACAGTACGGAAAAAGAGTTGCTGGAAAAAGAGGTGTTGTCTCCTTCTGCTAAGGGTCCTGAGATGTCTGGGAAACCTGACTCACAGGGGTAGACAATGTTTCCCTGTGGGATTTCCTTCTCTTCCAGCCATTTCAGGGAGCTTTGCGATGGTTAGATACCCGATTATTGATATAGGTATCTGCCAGCTCAGCTACTGCTTTGGCAGATGCTGGTCCCCTCTCCAACACAAACTGTCTGACGTCTACAGGACAGGTGTGTAGACTGGGGGTGCTTGAGCGCGTCCATCATGGCAAACTCTAAAAGAAAGGCAGATAGATCTTTTCAAGACTGGAAGGCAGTGTTCTGTAAAGCAGCCCATATATGAAACAGTTGTTTTCATTTAGCCAGCTGGTTGAACAAAAAAAAAAAAACGTTGCCATTATGGACTTTCACCTCTAGAAGGTATGCCAGGGCTGCCAATCAGTTTAGTTAATTAGTCTGTTAAACTTTTCTTGGTCCTGGTCTGAAGTAATTAAAAGGATGCGTGTTCTGGCATATTGCAAATAACCTGGACCTGTAAAGCACTAGAGGGGTATAAAGAACCCCACACTACAGTGTCTATGCAGTATGCTAAGGAAGAGCAAGGCCGTTGCTAATGGTAACTAAGTACACATTCAGGACACAAGGCAACCAGTTGTAGGCGTGATACCTGGGCAAGGTGAGGTGTCCTCCAGTAGCTAGGGGTCGTGACCAGCATCACGGAGGCCCTCACTCTAGCCACACAGTACAAGTGAAGAAGAGTTAATGTAGGACACGCTTGAGATCTGCTCTATGTATCTGGTGGGATCTCATTATTTTACTGGGAATGAGGTAACAAAGGTACGCTGGCTGGTGGAAGTAGCGTGGGTCAGCCTGCTACTCTGAATGCAAGTCACCATGTGTAGAGCTATGGGGCATCACCTAAGAGAGTAACTTCGCTTCATTACTACACACAGTAAAAGTTCATCTCTGATTTGGGGAATTAACATAATGTTAGACTTTGCACATGGCCACAGTCTCTGCCTGGTTGGTGAGTGCTCCCTCGGCAAAGCTACCCCCAGTGCATGGGTGTGATGGGCTCCGTCCACATGATTCTCTTGTCCACACATTTGAGGTGGATGGGGGAATTCTTCCCACTGTGTCCTTGTATTCTGACAGTAGGGAGAATTTCCTGCTGTCAGAATACACTGATCAGCACTACAGGCTATATCCAGCAGTGCTGATCAGTATATTCTGACAGCAGGAAAGTCTCCCCACCATCAGAATACAATAGCACATCAGGGAAGATTCTCCCATCATGAAAGTTAGTTGAGATAGGGGCTGGATTAGTGGAGTCTACGAGAAAAGTGCAGTTGTCCTTTTAGGTTGTGTGCCTACAGCACATGTGTCAAACACCAGTGTTAATTTTGGCGTCAAATTTCAATTTAGTTTTAGTCGTATTTTAGTTATCTGAATTGTTTTAGTTTTAGTCTTATTTTAGTCTACTAAAATCTCCAGTACATTTGAAAAAGTAATGCATTATTTAAAAATGTTTCTAGAATTTCCAAACTCCTTATACAGTATACTCCTGGAGTAAAAAAATCTAATAACATGTTATTATTTATGGTATTAAGGTTTTTGAACATGCACTGCAGACACAGATTTAGCCGTTGTGATATATAAGGTCTTTATGTGAATAAAATCAACTTTCATAAACAGGTGGGTAAAGTAGTTGTTCAGGTTCAGGACAGATTTAGAGCAAGTTCAGGACAAGTCTAGAAAAGGTTCAGGAAAGGATTAGACCAGGTACAGGACAGGTTTAGATCAGGTTCTGGAGAGGATTAGATCAGGTTCTGGAGAGGATTAGATCAGGTTCTGGAGAGGATTAGATCAGGTTCAGGACAGGATTAGATCAGGTTCAGGACAGGTTTAGGTCAGGTTCAGGACAGGATTAGGTCAGGTTCAGGACAGGTTTAGATCAAGTTCAGGACAGGATTAGATGTGGCTCAGCACAGGATTTTTCATACAGCTGCCAACTCTGTAACTGGAGAGCAAACCATGCTGAAATCTGATGACATGTGCGATTCATTTTAATTTAATTTTGAATTGATTTTTGTCAAAGTTTTCATCAATTGACAAAAATTCCAATTGATTTTTGTCTAGTTTTCATCACTGAAAACATGCTGCTGCCGAAAATTATATGAGGAAAATATTTTAATCAACAAACTTAACACTGTCAAACACAAGGCCCACCTAAATCAACCCACAGGCCATTTCTTATGGCCCCACACCTCTCCTGCATCTGCTGCACACCCCTGGTCTCCTCCCCCATCACTTCCCAGCAGTCGCAGTAGAGAGGAGACAGAACTCCTCAGCCAGATCCTGCACCTCTCCGTGCAGGCACAGAGAGGCTTGTCTCTGCCCTTTCCCCCACTCAACAGTCGGCAGCAGAGAGGAGGACAGAACTCCCACCGATCCTGCACATCTCTGTGAAGCCGCACAGCACCCCCATCTCCACCTCCCCTGATCTCAGCATTCAGCAGACTCCAGCGGCTGACTTCAGCCCTCCTCTGGTCCTACTTCAGACCCTGCACTTTTCTTCTTTCCCACTCTACCCCCAGCTTCTTCAGGTGAACAAGTTTAGGGGGGTGTACTTTGATGTGAGGAAGGGTGGGGGACTCTTGACATCTAATGTAAGGTGGGGTGCTCTAGACAGCTAGTCTTACAGAAACAACCAGCCTTTTGATGGCAACCATAATGCTGATGTGGCCTGGGATGAAATTGAGTTTGACACCCCTGGCCTACAGGCCCCAGTGATTGAAATCCAGTCCTGGCAATGGCAGCTCCCATATAGCTGTTGATGTCTCTGGCAGGCTTTTGTTGCTGTTGGCGAGACATTGTAATGTACACAAATATGGGTGGATTACAAACCACAGCTGTGTTGTGGTTCCATTCTGGTCCTATGGAATGGAATCAAACAAGTCAGCAGTGGCAGCTCCCATATCGGTGCCAATGGGAGGTTTTTGTTGCCCAAATTTTATTTTGCCAAATAAGTTGAATTATTTTTTCCTGCAGACATTGCTTTCAAGTACATACAGAAAAACAACTTTCTATTTCTAGTAATATATTTTGTGCACTCTCTGGAGTTCTCTTTTAAAGTTTTGTAGCCTGTCACCCTGACCTATTTCGGGATTAACATGGGATGTCACTCTCCCTCTACAGGGTTCAGGTCCACTGCCCCTCTGACATAATGGCTTTGTATTATGCAGCGTCTTCATACCACTGAATGCCATGGGGCTACAAAGTACAATGTAGCCTGGGACCTTCCCACATCCTACGCTCAGATAAAATGAATACCCTGTTTAAACCATGAAGTAGAAATCCAGCCAAAATGTTTGTTCTTGCCTCAACTAATGTGAGAAAGGGCCACTCTGAGTTTTAATACCATCTATTTTGGCATAAATGAAAAAACGCAGCGCCCCAGCTCTGTGACCTAATGCCTAGGCAAAAAATAGTTCTCTGGCTATCAGGAGCTGAAAAAAAATAGGATTCCTGTCTCAAAGGCATACAGTGAGAGAACAGAAGAAGGGAAGTGCATTTCTACAATAATGCTGAGAAATGTTATTTATCTACATAGTATACATATATACCTTTAAGCACTTCTTTCTTCATCATGCTACTAAT